CTGTCTGTATTGACTCGTCAACTTGTGAAGGCTTGCACCGAAGATCTTTCCTTCCGAAGGGTCGTAGACTCCAACTTTCAGGAAGCTCCAGAGCTTTAGACTGAAGGGAACGTAGGGGAAGCCATTGTTTATGAAAGGGAGCATGCACTGCACCACCACTTCATCACTGCCCAAGTTCGTGGGGCCGTTCTGTAGGTGATCCAGCTGCAGGTGCTTGATGCCCAATTTCTCCAAATTGTCCAAGTAAGCCTGCCACCTATCCTGGTTCGACGAATCACTCGCGAAGTACCTTAGCAAGCCCTGCAACCACTCCTCGGTACGCGTGCTGGGCCTTCCCACATCATGAGTTGAGAGGCACTCGAACATGCGCGTGCGCCACTGCCGCGCCCAACACTCATCCCGCCGGCCATTCCACCACTTCTTCACACCAGCATTCACGGTGTCCAAAAAGACCTGCAACACTTCTTTCTGGACGCATGACCATACAGAATCAACAATCAAACAGACAGCTTGTGGCTGAATCCGCATGACCTATATAAGCTTCCCGGCTTCTACGCCCCAGCACCCCGGTTTGGGCCTCCGTCGTTCGTAGATTCTTCATGACTTGAGCCTGGCATGTCACCTCGGCCGAGCAAGAGCCTGGTTGGCTCACAACGCTCTCCTGGCAGCAATGACCCGGCAGCTCCATGCACTCCTCCGCCTGATCCGCCTGAGGCCACTTCCAAACGCAGGTCCCGTTGTCGTTGCTCTTCACAGGGTAGCCGCAGCACTTGTGCACCTCTGGCTGCACGGCGACAAAGCCCAGAGACTTCTTGCACTCCTCTGTCTCGGGGATGTCGTCCACGCCGTGCCAGATGTCGCAGTAAGCATCGAGCGTCGCCTGATCGGCACCGAAGGAGCCCCGCATCACACGGATCGAGAACTTGCCCGGGATGTCCGGCAAGTTGCAATGCAGCAGCTCTTCAAGCTGGGGTGCTGGCCAGTAGGGCTTGTAGGATCCCGAGCCGTTGTCGAAGACCATCTCGTACTCATCATCCTCGCTCCAAAGCTCCACGTCATGCGCATGCTCAGGGTTCTTGTTGACGATCACCAGCTCGCCTGCGTAGCGCAGATCCTTGCGTGATCCAGCGTGCATGTTGTGCTTGCTGAGGAGGTCGAACTTCATCTTCTTTGACAAAAGCCCGGTGAGTCCCAACGGGATCTTCAAAGTGTCGAGCATGCCCCCAGTGGCGATCTCTATTCGCGTGTCCGTCACTGCGTAAGTGAACCTCTGGCGGCCACGGTACTTCACCTGCCCATCGGCCTGCATCACGGCCCGTCGGCCTAGATCCATCTCCTTCAGCAGGTCAACACCCGTGTTCACGGTGGCTGTGTTCGTCACGTGCCCGGGTAAGTTCAGCAGAAGCCTCACCAGGCTGCCACCCAAGTCCATCGAAAGGGTGAAGGGGCCCACTTTGATGCCAGTGCTCTCGGCAGCTTCCAACGTGTTATTGTCATCCTTGTACAGCAACGAGTGTTCTGCAGCGGTAGAGGCTCGTTTCTGGTAGCTGAGATCCCCACGGA